CACACACACACTCTCTCTCTCTCTCCATATATATATATATAGAGAGAGAGAGAGTGTGTGTGTGATCACACTTGGTGAACTAATCCACTGGTTGGTCTGAGATAAGCCTTACCTCAGGTCTACCAAGAAAGCCGGAGTTCCCGTTCTATCAACCCCTTCTTTTTCGTCTATGGTTCAGTGAACACGACGGACTTCCCTCATCTTCTTTGTTGCCATCCTCATTGTCATGGATTATGGCATCGTTATCGCATCTTAAAGCAAGCAAGACAAACAAGTAATGGCGGGCCAAAGGTTAACTTATCTTATTGTTACAGAGAACAATCAACGGCAGAAAAAATTCCAAAGCCAGAAAGTGTTTATTTATATAATTATATTTTTTTTATTTATTATATATTTGGACCATATGAAATTTTTTATAAGATTACATGCATTCATTTATTTATTTATATATATACTTATTAATTTAAATAAAAAATAATATATTTACTTTTGAATAAATATTAAAATATTAGAAGGGTAAACTCATCATAAAATATTTAAATGTACTTTTGAAATATAATTTTATCAAATAATACTTAAGTAAATATATATATATATATATGTATTTAAAATATAATTTTTATCTATTATTTATCAAACACTTAAAATATTTCATAACTATCCATTCACTCATATCATATATTAAAAATATAAATATATTTCTAAACGAGGACAGAACTCGTAGTCGATAAGGACATATCAAATTCACTTGGAAAACTGGAACAGTAGAAAGAAAGGGAATATAGCTGAGGATCAAAGGACAAAGAAGAGTAATAGAGAACTCGGAAGACGAGAGAAGACAGGTTTGAACAGAATGGAGGAGAAGCGTTAAGAAAAAGGTTTGGTGGGCGCGGGAGAATCGCTGCCGCATGCCCGCCTCGGTTCTGATGAGATGTCGACTATTAACTCATTGGCGCATTGCTTGCAGGAAGAGACTTCGACAAAAGAGGAGAATACGGTAGGGAGGAAGACAGGTCATCATCTTCCCACTTCGCAGCCAATAGATGTTAGCGGGTGGACCAAAAGAACCCCAGTAAGCCATACTCACCGTCGACTCCCTCGTCTTACCTGCTACGTTGAAGGATAATGAAATGAGATCATAAAGCTTACCAATTTGCAAGTGCTGACTGCAGCTGGTAGGGACAGCTTGCCAACAGATTATGAAGTCTTTGGCTTGCGTTGCGGACTCTCTCTCTGTCTCTCTCTCTCTGTAACTTCTCTGATGCAGTCTAAATCATGCAAATTTCAAGCTTTGCATGCAGAACCAAAAGATTTCTGTCACAGGAACATGAAACACGGTGGAACGATAAGGCTAATTCAAGCCGCGGTTTGCGGTGGTAGAAGGTGTTTCATGAGCTGAGGTGAGGGTGGATGTTGGGTGGCCATTTTCTACGCCACGGACCAAATTAATGGTCGGCTCTGCATGCGAACCCATCTCAGTCAATGCCTTCCCCTCCTTTGTTTCATCCCTTTTGAAGCTTATTGCAGGTGCTACTCCACCATCTTCTCTTTATTCTATGCCAAAAATCTCCATCCTTGTTCTCGTCTCATGGAAACTTGATGCATATTTATGATATAATACGGACTCCCGTTGTCTTTCTTTTCCTTTTTAGTATCTCGGATTGGTCCAAGATATCAGCGCAGTAATATGAGCCCATAGGTTGAGGTCGCAGGCAGGAAACAAATTCATATTCCTACTGACAGATGGTTTCTCTGTTCATCTTCTTCCAAGTTGTGGGTTTGAACCCTTGTGTAGGTCGGTACCCTAATGGATCCGAGCAATATCTCTAGGTGGGGGATCGCTGGCCTTGACAAGAGAACAAAGAAGCTTGCAACTGCACTCAATCAATCATAAACCTTAGAGTGGGGAGCATATAGACCTACATAGGTTCCGTAGGGTGGATAATCTTTCGCTATCACCGCAGTTGTCTAATGGACTTGCACTAATCACAGACTGTTTATCTTCACATGCATATATCGGATGCATGAGCTGATGGTGCAAAAAGTTATCCTCTCTGTGAACATGGGAGATTTACCATGAAAGAATTTTCTTCAACCTTAAATTCTTCTCACAGATTGTAGAATTTTCTATGTTTGGTTTCGCCAGCCTCTCTTTTTTTTCTGCAGAAAGGAAACCACGACTTTCATGTGATCCGAAAACAAAACCTCGATGCACTTTGAACGGGACAGCACAATAACACCGAGTCCATGTCCTCTTGTGTGGCAAGATCATTAGTTTAATGGTGCCCTAGAGAAACCAAGATCAAGGTCAGGACGAGACCACATGATGACCAGTTCCTCCAATGGAGTTGCACCATTAATTCCCTCTCTCACTCGCCGTGCTTCTTGACCGTACCATGTTGTTTATGCTCTCTGTATGGAACGTTGACTCGGTGATTAACGATGCCTTGGTATCACAACGACAATTCAGCTGACATGAGTCCCTTGAAAGAAGTGACTATTATTGTGTTACCGCTGTGTGTTTTGCATGTAATTCTCTTTTCCTCCTCCTCCGCCTCCTCCTCCTCCTCTCTTCACTTCATTGGATGCTTCGACATCGGCAGTAAGAAACCATGGGCATTCCAGTTGTGATGATGCTGGGGAGTACTGCTGCACGCAGAACATAGTGCTGTGGTTATCACTATCTCTTTGATGGCCTTCAAAACGTTCACGAAACAGCAAGAGAGAGAATAAATAAACAAAGCAAATGAGAGAGTGACTTGAAAGAATTCGAACAAGTCCAAACAAAATTGCTTCGGCCCCCTGAGAGACCATATGGCGATAAAGCTTTCATAGGGTGATTTAGTCAACGGAAATGGTGGAGGATAAGAAACAACAAAAAACGCACATACTCGTCTTTTAGTTCTCGTTGTTGCTGGTTTTATTGTTGTTGAATCGGTCAACTATTTAACAGCGTGGATCGAAGACATTTGTGAGAAGACCTTTCATTTCAATGGATTCACTTCACGCCCGAACAAGTATGGTGTTCACGTTTGTCGTGGTCCAACTCGCGGGATCGGTCGGGACTGCGAGCACGGTGCTGCAAACGCGCCGCGCAGCTTTGATCGTCGCTCGATCCGAATCGACCACGTGTCGTCGCAGCAGAGAGCCACTGCTCCCCTGCCTCTGCCGACACAGAGAACACGGTTCCTTTAATCGGATGAAGTGGGGTCCGCCCACGTCGACCGAGTAAACAAGCGGGACCCGAAGGTAGTCTTGCCTGTGAGGGGGCTTTTCCCGTGTCTGGTCACTGGAGGGAGCCACACCCATGGATGGGGTGAGAGCGAAGGATGAAGAAGGTGGGACCCGTCAAAGGTGTTGACGAGTTCTCCCGCACGTAATGCGGCGGCCCAATCGGCAGCGGTGGTGACGGTAAGCCCGAAGATATTTTCTTTTATACATAACCGGTCAGATCACCCCCTTTGACTCCCCAACCCAAACTCGTCTCTTCCTCTTCCTCTTCCTCTTCCTCTCCCTCACGTCTCTCTCTCTCTCTCTCTCTCTCTCTCTCTCTCTCTCTCTCTCTCTCTCTCGCTCTAGTCTCAATTCCTTAGCCCGTGTAGTGTGGCCTCGCTCCCCCGCCCTCCCTCCACCTGTCCGCTCCTGACGCACCATCTTATGTCACCGCGATCCCCACGACCAAGTCTCAAAGCTTCTCCCTTCCCCTCTTCCTCTACCTCTTTATTGCCCACCACCTCCACCTGTTAAAAAGACTTCAGACTTCACTCTCCTCTCTTCTTCTTCTCCAATCCTGATCACACCAAGCTGCCAAACTTCCAGTTACATGGACGAAGGCGGAACTACTCGCGGACGAGGGCTCACCTTGAACACCTCCCCTCCTCTCTTTCTCTCACCTCCCTTGGACCACGGCGGCGATCCCAGGCGCCCGCAGCCCATGGAGTCCGATCGATATCGCCACCGCAGCGGTGAGAATCGTCCTGTCGTTAACGAGATGGATTTCTTCTCGGATGAGCGGTGGAAGGCCGTCAGCAAAGTGGAGCCTGATCTTGATCTCAAGGTGACGAGGGAAGATCTCACCATCAATGTTAGTAATCCATTCATCACATATACTTATTTCCATGCATGAGATTTCCCTGTTTGTGTTTGATGATTCGAATTAATCTGTCAAGTATTGATTGCTTTGATCTGGTCGTGGATATTGGGTAACTTGTAGACTGGATTGAATCTTCTCACTGCCAACGCCGGCAGCGACCAATCGACGGTAGACGACGGGATGTCGCCCGCCGATGACTCCAAGGAGAACAAGAGTGAGGTGAGAAGAACGAGATCTTTGCTGAACTGCGTCGTCTGATTAATTTGCTGGTCGTTTAATGGATTCTGCGCCTGCTTGATTCAGCTGGCGGCCATGCAGGCCGAGCTAGCACGCACGAAGGAAGAGAACCAGAAGCTGAACGAGACGCTGAACCAATTGACCGCCAGCTATAATGCTCTTCAGATGCATCTCATCGCGTTGATGCAGCAGCAACACCAACCCAAAAGAGACCCACAGGCTCATGAGGTTTGATATGATCGTACCAACTACTGACTAAAACTAGCAGTCTAATTCATGAACTGATCCATGGATGATACGTACATAAATCCTCCAGGCGGCAGATGAAAAAGGTCAGGCCACGAATCACGAACATGGAGGAGTTCTTGTGCCGAGGCAGTTCATGGATCTCGGTCCTGCTGCGGAAGCCGACGAGCCATCTCACTCGTCGACGGCAAGCCGAGACCAGCCCTCTTCGCCGCCGGACAATGTCGAAGTGGGATCGAAGGACCGCCAGTTACACAAGCAGATTGCTCGACCTGATCGCGCAAAGTCTAGCAGGGAAGACAGCCCAGACCAAGGCTGGAACCCAAGCAAAGATCCCAAGTTATCCCCTTCCAAGAGCACGGAGCAAGTACAAGAAGCCATCATGAGGAAAGCTCGCGTATCTGTTCGAGCACGGTCTGAAGCACCCATGGTGATCGAGACCACCCCAAACCTACAGCTGCTATTCCAGTGCATGCACATGAATAGTTTTCCGGACGCTCACAGTGAGTCTTGGTTGCTTTCTTAGATCACCGATGGATGCCAGTGGAGGAAGTACGGACAGAAGATGGCGAAAGGAAACCCATGCCCCCGGGCTTACTACAGATGCACCATGGCCACCGCATGCCCTGTCCGCAAACAGGTAATGCAGCACACTGGAAGTGTGTTTTCTCGTATGAGTGCAATTACGTCTCTCAAGTGTTCGACTAATTGTCCGTTGTTTTTGGGCACCAACAGGTGCAGAGGTGCGCGGAGGACCGTTCGATCCTGATAACGACCTACGAGGGCACTCACAACCACCCGCTCCCGCCGGCGGCCATGGCGATGGCGTCGACCACCTCGGCCGCAGTGTCGATGCTGCTGTCGGGGTCGATGTCGAGCCCCGAGGGGCTTATGAACCCCAACTTCCTCGCACGAACAATCCTGCCGTACTCGTCGAGCATGGCGACCATATCGGCCTCGGCTCCCTTCCCCACCGTGACGTTGGATCTCACTCACAACACCAACGCGCTGCAGTTGCAGCGGCCACCTGCCCAGTTCCCCCTCTCGTTCCCTGGTGTCGCTGCCACCGCTGCTGCTGGCTTCATTGCGCCGTCGCAGATCATGGGGCAGGCGCTGCACAACCAATCAAACTTCTCGGGGCTTCAGATGCCTGTAGGGATGGAGGCCGCGCACCTTCTGCACCCAAAAGCCCAGTCGGCGCTTCCGTCCACTCTTGCCGACACGGTGAGCGCTGCCACGGCGGCCATAACAGCAGACCCCAACTTCACTGCTGCTCTCGCCGCCGCCATCTCATCAATCATCAGCGGGAATCACCAGTCTGCAAGCAACTACGACGACAACAAGAGCAGCGCCAATAAAACCAGCAGCGATGGCAACAACAACAAAGACGACAACCCGTCCCGTTCCAATTTTCGGGCCACCCAATAGTCCTCTTCGATCATAATCACATCCAAACTTTTTATCTATTTTTCCCCGCATTATTCTTTGGTTTTGTGAAGAAAAATCATGCAATGCAATACAATACGCCTTTCCTTCCTTTGTCTTCTTCGGAGTTGTAATCTAGACAAAGGTGCTTTCCATGTCAAGATCTTATCACCAACTTAATTATTGGCGGTTGATCAATACTACATCAATATGGCACAGAAAGACATGTCCCAACAAAGTTTTCCGTCACCATCTTTCTCTTCTTCACCGTATTCTCTACGCCCATGCACCTTGGTTTCCTCCTCAGGTTCATCTCGTCTTCCTCTTCTTCATCTTCCTGTTGTTGCAGGCGCTCGAAGGTCAAGGATTGCGACCATGCACGTGAAGCATGCGGGATCTCTGGGCAGGGTAGGCAAGACGACAAAGCCCGAGTTCATTCTGACTGATTTCTGTGGAGTACTCGGTCTCAACCATTCACATGATGCATTGGGCTACATATCGGCTCATCGCAATAGTAAATGGCGACTGACGTGCGCGGCAGGGGACGAGGGACGCATCTTGTGTATCCCAGGTGTTTGTACTGGGTCCCGTACCTACGTATATACACACATCTTATACGTATATACACATATCTATATAGTTTACCCGGCACCAATTACCGAGTACTAAGTAGAATAATAGAAGATGGGAGTAAGATATGGGTGATGGCGTACAACTCCAGGAGGCGTCGTCTGCAGGAAGATTCGCGTTGACGAGGGCACGTGTAGGAGATGGATTTCTTGGGGAGAGGAGAAGAGATTGGCATGGGAGGACTCGCAGATCACGACGACTTCGCTTTCAGTTGGGAATTGGCGGTGACCGATATCGTTCCCACACATCTTGTCTTGCATGTGATCTGTCATCAAGTGGTAGGTGATACAATAAAGGAGAGAGGGTAGGAAGAAGCCACTCTACTGCAATCGCTTACTAATGAATAAATAATTCGATGGATAAAATATTTTAGTGTCGTTTGTGATGGCAGCATGATGACATGCATATCGAAAGCGGATAAATACTTGAATAGACTTTATATATATATATATATATATATATCCAAAAGTGATGGTATGGAAATATGTATCAAGTAGGATTTTGGCACAGCATGACTAAGAATGATAGATTAGAACACAGAGAAAGGCTCAGAGATGATGAACCAACATAGTTGATGTGGATGATATCAACACAGATTTTGAGGGTTAATAACAACTGATAAAGGTGCACAGAATCATTGCTTAGAAGAAAATATAAGATTCAACATCTCACAAAATCTCATCAAGTTGTGTGACAGCTTCAACCTTGATGTTGTTCAAAGGCATGTGGCCTGTCTGAGGGCATAGCAACTGTGCCATCAGTCTCTCTCACATAAGCAAAACTGTCTGCAGAGTGATGGAGAATCACCAGTGCAAAGATCCATCAAGCAGTTCACTTCTAATCCAAATTAGTTTAGTGAGTTGTCCCATATGCTCCTAGATTACATGCATGATTAAGTGAAGTCTTAACGATCAACATTAGGTGGTTCCCTTGCCAACTTACATGGGGAAAAAGATTGCAATATGGTGTCTGTGTCTTCACACTTACCATGACAGCATAACAAAGGTGCTGCTTTAGTCTCACAATTTGCTTCTTAACAAAATGAGATATTAGTCTGGTACACTCCAATGGAGAAGCTGATAATAGAACATGCTTCATGAGCATTGTACACAACTAAACATATGAAAACAAGAATCACAATCTTACAAAGAGCACTCATATGATGAGTGTCTTGTGGAAGGGGGCACAACATTGTGAACAAGAAAGAATATCATAGCACTTTCACTCATATCCACATAATGAAAACACAGGCAGTCACTACAGTTTTTATTAAGAAATAAGGAAAAGGATGTTACACACGATCACTCGGTTACGGATGTGTAGTTTCTTCCACAGTCTCATGATAATGAAGCTATTAATTGACTGCTGCTTGATGCCTCATGCTCTGTTTCATTTGCACATAAAGAAAAACAAGTGAGGTGACTAAACTAGTACGTAGAAGAATATGAATTTGCTACTAAATATACAGACATGAAGATTTTCAGTAATAATTATGCATTTCCCGATATTGACATAGAGCTTTTATTGCCAAACCTCTTTAAAGTAAATCATGAAATTTTTAATATTGTGATCAGTCCATTGGATAAAGTGAGAGCCACACAACTTGGTTTTCTCTTTTTGTAAATCTACAATAAAAGAAAATTCTAATTATATCATTGGCAAGCCAACCAAAAAGAGCTGTTCACAAATATTTTTTACATTGGATCAAGTTATAACTTGTATCATCCCTACCTAAATCTAACATTTTAAAAAAAAGTACATTATTTAATAATTTCTCCATTATGTATGACAGTTGAATGTGACCACCAAGTTTGCAGCATCAAATCTGAGTAAAAAGGTTTTAGGAATATAGTGATTTGTGCAACGATTGAACGAGGCAAACAAGCTCATAGGATCAGATATGACTACCAAACACAGAGTAGAAGCAGAGGACAAACTTATATAGAGGGCTACATATGTTTGGTATTATTCCTAAGTAAATTGTTTACCCTATCTAAAAGGCCTTACACAAGTGATGCAGGAAAGGCCAGAAGGTAGGTTTCTTTGGGGTATAAAGCTTCAAAGGGTTTTAGAGATAACAGAGTTGCTGACTTCCTCATAGTCTACAAAGGCCAATAGGAATTATTAGTTAACAAAAAACAAGCCCATCAAAAATAAAATTGACTTGGTCTTGCGATTATTAAAAAAGAAAAGGGGATTTAATGGCTCAATATTAGAATTGTACAGATTGTCAGATGGACTGGCACGGGAAGTTGTTAGTGGTGTCTAGTATAATTTCTGGTACCGGGAAAGGAAAAAAGGCTTGATTAGAAAGACCATAATAGAGTGCTAAATTCCATACATGGTTCACTCTGTGCCAATTACCTCACATGTAGAAATATGTGCATTCGGACCATTGACGGCTAAGAAAGAACTCAGCACCCTCGTTGTTGACAATCTTAGATACAAGCTAGCCATTACCTCATCAAGATTAGAAAAATCCAGCATTAAGTCTGTAGGGAAAGTTTTACATGCAGTGCTAAAATAAAAGGAAACAAGTACTCAGCAGCTGAGATTTTAATCTCCAAGAAGCCATTATGGGACATGATGAGATTAACTGGCTCTTTTGATTATTAAGATACCATCACTGGAGTCACTTAATATATTCACTTCCCTCATGTCTAGTGATAAAAGACTTAATTTTAAAAATGCTTTGCAAAATAGAACTTCACTGAGCAAAGTGTACAGAACATATGTTCCTCCAGCAATTCATTAAGAATGTTTCTAAATACATATCTTAACCAAAAGGAGGTCCTGGAGCTCTAATTAGCTGAGAATGTATCATCCCCAAAATGGTGGTTATAGGATGTAGGCAGGACCTGATAAATTTCATTTGACCAAAACCTAAGTGAACTACTGATATCTAATTTTCTCTTTGCTGATCTTTTTATATTATACTTCACAATCCTAGTCTCTGATTTCTCTCCTGATATTCTGCCTATGCTTTAGTTCTCCTCAAAAAAATTTCACATTAAAAAGGAAAGGAAGAGAAAATTTCAGAAAGTAACTTATAAACAGTGGAAGGCATTTAACATTAAAAGATGAGTAGCCACAAAGAATTCAAGGGAAAGAAGTAGATATTTCAGAATATGGATGTGGAAAAAGACCTTCCTTAAGCACAGAGAAGCAAAGAAGTCATTCTTTTCTTCTTTCTGACCTGATACTGTCTTTGGAAGCCGTAAGAACATCAAACAATCCGCAGCAATTCCACCATGAAGCTCGAAGCTCTGCCACTGGCGCGGGAGTGGGCTATGTGTATACGTTCGATTAATTTCAAGAGATCAATCAGCACATCAGTACCAATGCATCATCATGGCGCACAAACAGCGGAACAGAGTCAACTCACCTCAATGTTCTCGGTGCTATGGCAGAACTCCCCACTTGGACGAGGCGATTCAGAAACAGGAGTTTCTTCCAGAGCGGCCGCTGGTTTGGCGTCAGTCTCATGCGTCAAAGAATCAATCTCCAGCCAAGTCACCAGAGTCCCCGTCGCGGCCTCGGCGGCTTCGACGACCTCTTCATCCACAGGAACTGGCGCATCGATCAGAACGACCGTCACAGCAGTCGCTGCTGCCGCCGCCGATTCCTCCACAGCGACCTCAGATTTCTCAGCCTTGAGGAACTCTACGCTCACGACTCCAGCCTCCGTGGAGACAGGAACTGCCACCTCCTCCAACTTCTCACCGTCATCATTAACTGTAGCGTTATCCTCCATTTCGACGGCAGCCGCGGGTTCCCTCCGCTCTTCCTGCTCCACCTCCTCGTCGCTGCTGCTGCTGCTGCTGCTACTACTACTGCTGCTGCTCGTCTTTTCCTTACCGTCGTGGTTGTTGTCTGGATCGCACAGAAAAGAAGAGGGGGGAAGCATAATAAAGTGGGAGTTCTCTGCTGCTTTAAGCAAAGGATGCGCTGTAAAGGAAAGGGGAAAACCTGGAGAAGCGTTGGTGGGGGAGTCCGGTGGGTGGCCAAGGCCCTGCTCCGTTCCCTCCTCCTTCTTTCGCCGGGCAGCTTTCCGCTTCTTGGCACCCGACGGCATGGCAGCACTCTGGTAATGGATTCCTGCTCTGATAGATTATAAGTGCGAGTTGTTAGAAGGGGACTGGACAGAGGGAGTGACGCATGATGTGGGTCTTAATTGCTTTCCTGCCGTCCATGGCAGAGAGATTCGAGACGAGGGAAAGTATTGGCCGGGGACAGTGGCTGGTGGCGAGAGATGGGATGTGCAGGTGAAAGGTCAGAGGAAAGAATATATATACAAAAGATTTCCGTTTGCATGCATATTTTGTCAAACACCTTGCAAGCACTTTATAATCAATACAAAATTCCAATTATGAGCTGAGCTTCAAAATATAATGGGACTGGGAGTCGATCTGGAAACATACCAGAAGGACCGACGCCATCTATCGCCCGCTGGGAGAGGGAAGATAAGCCGAGGGGAGACACATCCTACCCGCAAGCGCAAGAAACAATAGAGAACGAGGTCAATGCTGCAATGACAAGACACATCCTGTCCGACGCAGTGTACGCTTAGGTCGCGTTCAACGGTGGAGGGACGAAAAGCCTCGATCCGCACTTGCAGCACGTTGCTGCCGACGGCACCACGCCATTTAAGGACCACCGAATCGGACACGACTAGGTTACGACAGGGAGACGTGGCGCGCAATCCACGTCGACGCCGACATGAGCCCTGCTGGGGAAACGCGCGTAACGGGTAACCAACCGACACAGCGAAGAACATTTTTCTTTCACTCGTTTTTACCTACTCGTCCATGTACCCGTCGGGTAATTGGAGGTCCTTCACGAGGAAAGGGTTGTAGAGGGGAGTTTGGGTGTTAGAACGCGTAATGGACAGGAAAAGAGACGTTCCTACTTCGCTCTCGGTTTTGGCATCCTACCTTAACATATCTATTACTTCCCTCTTGGTTTTGGCATCGTACCATACTATATCTATGTATGGATTCGATCCTGCCATTGAGGCTGGGATTGGATTAGGGGGGAAGAAGATGATCCAGCTGCTGTTCACGGTGCTGGCGGCGGAGGCGGCGGCGACGGCGGTGCTCCTCTTCAACACTCCGCTCCGCAAGCTCCTCGTCCTCGGCCTAGACCGCCTCAAGCGCGGCCGTAGCACCGTCATGGTGAAGACGCTGGCTGCCACCGCCGTGCTTGTCCTCGCCTCTAGCATCTACAGCATGGCTGAGATCCGACTCCGCTTCGCCGAGCTTGGGGCCCCCACGCCCACCGACCAGATTCTCATGAGCCGCCACCTCCTCGAAGCCTCCCTCCTGGGTATGGGTATCCATTCTTGCTACCTATCTTCTTCAATCTCGATGTTTCTTGTTCTGCGGTACAATCTTATTACTACTCGATTCATGATGCAGGTTACTCCCTTTTCCTCGCTCTAATAATCGACCGTCTCCACCTCTACATCGGAGAACTGCATGGGCTAAGAAATAGCATGAAGGCTGTGATGAAGCAAAACAGGGTCATAGGGACAGCTAAAACTGGGAGTTCCTGAAGAATCTTTAGCATCAGATGTGGCAAATTGTTCCGCTTGTATATATCATGCCATTACAAGCAACTGTTTGATAAAATGCCCTCTTGTTGTTTTACCTAATGAAGTGATTCAAATGCTTACACGCTGTAAGATAGTACATGAACGAGCTACGCAATTTAAAACACTAAAACCTCTGCAACAGTGAGGGTCTAAGCATCATAAAATCTACATAGAAGAAGAACAGTAGAACAATTCCAATGCCACTGGATCAGGGGGGCTTGGAAGGGATGCGTTCGACCTGACTGCAAGTCTGCAATTCACCAGCTGCCAGTAAAAGAGAGCGTTTTATCAAGCACAAATCAGGTGCAGGATGGGATAATTGCATCCCCCAGTACTTCTGTTAGCATCTTGAATGCTGCTGAATTTTCTGCAACTCTCACTTTTGGCTTTGAGTCCCCAGAGATGACAAAGATTTTGTCTTCGGTTTTGACTTGAACAGAGCAGATGAACGTTTTACAATGATCAGGCCCTTGTTCTTGTTCAATCCTGCAAGTTCCATCGATGCGGTAATTGGGAGTAAACTCTTTACTTGTACATCAGTTGCGACGCAATGAAAGAGGCTCATAGAATCGACGATAAATCTACCTGTACGTGGGATTCATCCAATGTTTCTTGTTGCATAGCTCGTTTAGTTTCTGCTTTGCTCCAACTTCCGCCTCGGCCCCCGCGTCACCTTCCTCCCTATCAGCTGCCTGCAAGGCAGACAGCCTTTGCAGTGCATCTCTCGCCGCGTGAAGCCTTGCGAGATTCTTTTGTTTGGAGAAGCCAATGCCCATGACTTCTCCGTCCACGACGACCTTGACAGTGTTCGAAGAACCATCAAAAGAACTCGAAATATCGACTATTTTGCGGTGCTTCTGACAGAGCTTATAGAGGGCCATCACGGGGTGCTCCATCATCATCTCCGGAGTGATGATCGGCTCCAAGATGCCCCTGAAAACCTGCCCACGACGTCACGTTATCCCCGGAAGCAACAGTAGCAATAGGAAAGGAGAGGCAATTCACCGTCCAGAACAACTGCAGATCGGAATCGCAGTCGAAGTAGACTGCGGCCGCGATAGACTCGACGATATCGGCTAGCACTTTGGGGGCTTCGAGGGTGGTACCGCCGTACGTCATTTGAACGATGTCTTCCTCGGGCTCCATCATCGCCAAATCCGTGAATTTGCTCACCTGAAGCGTAACAGATGGTGATCCAGTCGAATCGGAATAAAAAAGGGAGGTTTTTGTCGGTTAAGGCAACGCGAGTACCAGCTGATCGAGGTCGCGGCAGATGCGGCGGAGGAATCGGTAGAGACGGTGGCGGACGGCGACTCGGGCGAGCTTCTCGGTGGAGGCATTGGCTATGCGGAGCTCGGTCAGGAATCTGGGTTCCAGTGTGGGATCGGAGAGGTAGAAGAAGCTGGTGATGGCGAGGCCAAGGACGGCATCGCCGACGAACTCAAGGCGCTCATACGAGCGGTGGCCAGCATAGGACGAGTGGGTGAGGGCCTCCTCCAGCAGAGAGGGATCACGGAAGGTGTAATTAAGGAGGCGCTCGATCTCCGTCACCGCTAACCGCATTCCGCCGCCCACCTCCGCCATGCTCTGCCTTCGCTTCTCGATTGCGTCGAGACAGTCGCTCCTCCTCTGCTACTACTAGGGTGGTGGAATACCAATACCAGTCAGGCCGGCGTCAGATCTTCTCTAACTCCAACTCCAAACTACGTTTTGTTTTGGCATCTCCACCCTCGTGCTGTTCACCATCGGATCCCATCCATCCGTTTGTGGAGGGTAAAGATGTGCAGTCCTTGGTAATATCGGCCCGTCCACATTGGATAGGGCCTCTTGCTTCACTGCGAAGGAAGCCATCGTACCAAAACGACCCACTGCAGGAATAGTGGGGCCCGTCCGTCACTAGTGTCACCGCCAATCGCGAGAACCGGTAAAGGATGAGGTATCGGTGATGTGGTTGAAGTGGGAATTAACAAAGTGAGATCCACCTCAGCGGCAGAGCTGACCAGGACGCGGGCCCCGCGTGCTTTAGGAGCCGCCTTATCTGACAAAGTTGACTACATCTTTCCCCGTCAACGACATCGCAGAAGAACACGAGTGATGAGCTTAGCGTTAGATATATAGACAAGTGAACACCCATTGTGTAATGAGCATTTTGGTTGTGCTTAGGCTCGAAGACTACTTCAAGATAAGAGTAGCTTTGGTAAAGCTTTCACTTGTTTTTCTACACCTATTAACTGGCATTCAAAATTCAATTACAAAGTTAAATCCAATAGATTTAGCCTCTTGAGATTAAGCATTAAGAACTGATAGGAATACTGAAGTTTAAATGAGCATTATGATTCTTGAAGACATGAATGGTCAGATCATACACGTAGTTGATTCATAGACGCAAGAAACATATCAAGTTCAATAAAAAAGTAACACCTTGTTTGGAAGGGCATGATGATTTGTGTAGGGTCTGCTGCAAACTCATCTAAACAAGAATCTTCTCATTATTAAACCTCCAAATAATCACTGCCAGGGACATCAAAACATTAATTAACTGAAGATTAGACCATATGGATCCAAATAGTTGCTCGCTGCATCAAATTATTCATGTTGGAAGATGGACCTGTCTGTAATGTTTCCTCATATCATCCCCAAAGCAAATAACTTGCAGCTGATGTGCATCTTCTGCGTTGCAGATATGGTCTCCCAACAAATCGGAACATGATCTCACAACTGCTGCAATTAATGGAGCTCAATGTACTTTTATCACTCCTCAAAAAATATGAGATCATATGAAACACCCCCAAAAAAAAGAAGATTCTTGCTGCCGTTAACATGCGTGTCCACGTCAGGGGCATTTCCGTAATTTCGTTTAGATTAACCATGGCCGCCCATGCTATTTAAATGGCTCGGCCTCTCTCTTCCTCTGCCTCCAAAGCTCTCCTGCTCTTGGCTGGCATCATTCAGCATGCTTCCAAAGGTCGCCCTTTTACTGTTCTTCGTCCTCCCCCACGCCGCCTGCACGTCGGCGCCAGCGCCGGCGCCGATGAGCCAAGAAGAGGACGCCACCCAGTTCATCCGAGCCCGGTGCGGCGCCACCCGCTACCCGGACCTTTGCTTCACGTCGCTCTCCCTCTACGCCGCTGACGTCCACCGCAGCCCCGTCCGGCTCGCTTGCCTCGCATCCAACGTCACCCTCGGCCACCTCCTCTCCCTCTGCTCCCACGTCTCCGCCCTTCGCAAAGCCGGAGACGGGCGGGAGGCGGCCGCGCTGCGGGACTGCACGGACACGCTGGGCGACGCGGCGGACCAGGTGGAGCGGACCACCTCGGAGCTGGGCCGGCTGCAGGATCCCCTGGAGAGGTCGGAGGTGGCGTGGCGGGTCTCCAACGCCCAGACGTGGATGAGCGCGGCGCTGACCAACGAGGACACCTGCTCCGACGGCTTCCAGGACGTGGGCGGCGGGGGCACCGGCGCCATCGAGGCCGACGTGCGCCGCCGGGTGGAGAAGGTGAAGCAGTACACCAGCAACGCCCTTGCCCTGGTCAACAGCCTCGTTGACCGCCGATGAAGCTGCTCAGCCTGCTCTCCCGAATCAAACAGCGACCTTCTGTTAGTGTCGAAAGGAAGACGACGATACCAACATACACAGAACACGTCGCTGCAGCACGATAAGATTAGCTTCATGAGTTGGGTGGGGGAAGTGATCCATTTGCTTGGTGGGATTCTGCCTTGTAAAGACGCTCTTTTCTGTGCTCCTTCTGGTTGTCATTTGTCTGCTTGCTTCAAAACAATTGCAGTTCTTCAGAAGCCTTCACCATCTTCTCAATCATTGCTTCACTCTATCTATGATTCTCGAACGCTTATATATACTGCAAAACAAGATCACCATATTACAGTTAGATCTTAAGACATATTCTAAGGGACCGCCCATTTCTCATGCACCACAGGATATAAGAAATACCAATTATTGGTTTATCTTATGCCCAATTAATTATTGGTTTTTGTTTCCACTGAACAATCATATGTGTATCAATTATGTTAGTCCCACATATTATACGAGCTGCTGAATCCCAAAGTACTTACTACAGCATAAATCAAGCCAGCGCATGTACATGATGCAGATTTGAATCATCAATTGTAGCTCTTTATGCTCCATCTTTAAGCATTAAAAAAGCATATTTTAATTCCTTTTTGTTCTTAAAATATGTTTTTTTAATGCCTTTTTTTGGAAAAGCAGATCGTTCATTATGTGAATTGGCATCTCTTTGGAGAAATGGGTCGGATCCATTCCGGGTTAACCCGACAACCCAATAATACAGCGTCTTCCCATCAAAAGCCGGGCTGGGAGAAGCGGGCGTCCGTTGGTTTCTTCCGTCAGAGCGGCGCATGAGGCGGACCTCCGCGTGCTTTGCTCGCTGCAGCTCCTCCTCCCCCCGTTTAACAGCCCGAGGAGCGGGCTCAGAAGAAGGGAGAGGCGAAGTGAGCAAACGAGGGAAGGGTCCGTACCATATCGTTACTTCCTATCTTCTCCTCCTCCCTTCTCGGTTCGGTAATCATCTGATTTCTGACTTGGTGATGAAAGGTTGCTGTCGACTATTGTCGACTTGCAGCTGTAAACAGATTAGATGCATTATGTTCTTGATGCCGATATGATTGCGTGTCAAGTGTTCGATATGTGTCCTCTGTTGCTTTGGCAGATATAGACAATGGCGGAAGGCGAGGATATCCAACCTCTCGTGTGCGACAATGGGACTGGGATGGTCAAGGTAGGAGTGCATCCGTATCAGCCTCTGGAGCTGGGAACGGGACTCCATGAATTTGCCAACTTATCTTGGTGCTCGTCCTCCTCAGGCAGGATTTGCAGGCGATGATGCTCCGAGGGCTGTCTTCCCCAGCATCGTAGGCCGCCCACGCCACACCGGCGTGATGGTCGGCATGGGCCAGAAGGATGCGTACGTCGGCGACGAGGCTCAGTCCAAGCGAGGCATTCTGACCTTGAAGTATCCCATCGAGCACGGCATCGTCAACAACTGGGACGACATGGAGAAGATATGGCACCACACCTTCTACAACGAGCTCCGAGTGGCCCCCGAAGAGCACCCCATCCTCCTCACCGAGGCCCCTCTCAACCCCAAAGCCAACCGCGAGAAGATGACTCAGATCATGTTCGAGACCTTCAATGCCCCTGCCATGTATGTAGCCATTCAGGCCGTCCTCTCCCTGTATGCCAGCGGGCGCACAACTGGTACGAAGCGTCGTCTGCAGAGATGTTCATGTTGCATGATGATGATGCTTCCCTGGATTCATGGAAACGATGGTTGTGCAGGCATTGTGCTCGACTCCGGCGACGGTGTCAGCCACACGGTCCCGATCTATGAAGGTTATGCTCTCCCACACGCGATACTGCGTCTGGACTTGGCCGGGCGTGACCTGACCGATAACCTCATGAAGATCCTGACAGAGCGTGGCTACTCTTTCACCACCACCGCGGAGCGCGAGATCGTGAGAGACATGAAGGAGAAGCTGTCGTACATCGCTCTCGACTACGAGAAGGAGCTGGAGACCGCCAAGACCGGCTCGTCGGTGGAGAAGACCTACGAGCTCCCCGACGGGCAGGTGATCACCATCGGCGCCGAGCGGTTCCGCTGCCCGGAGGTGCTCTTCCAGCCGTCCATGATCGGGATGGAAGCCGCGGGCATCCACGAGACGACCTACAACTCCATCATGAAGTGCGACGTTGACATCAGGAAGGATCTCTACGGCAACATCGTTCTCAGCGGCGGATCCACCATGTTCACCGGCATCGCCGACAGGATGAGCAAGGAGATCACAGCGCTGGCGCCCAGCAGCATGAAGATTAAGGTGGTGGCACCCCCCGAGAGGAAGTACAGCGTGTGGATCGGAGGCTCCATCTTGGCATCCCTCAGCACTTTCCAGCAGGTGATCGATCTTTGCTCAGTCACCACCAGAATGCATCGATTGGTAAGGTTGCTTACTGGTTTTCTACTACCTTGACTGCAGATGTGGATCGCGAAGGCGGAGTACGACGAGTCCGGTCCATCGATCGTGCACAGGAAATGCTTCTAACTCTTCGGAACAGAGGAAGCAAGTTGGACTAAGTTGACATTTGCTGATATGATGTCTGCCAAGGTCACGTTGTTCCCACCGTAGGGCTGACGGTGATCTCCGAGGGCCAGCTTGAGGATGTAGCTTTTTTACTGTGGGTGATTGCATTGGAGAAATTGTTTGAGGCTTTCATTAGCCAGAAAGAACATGCTATCGAACCTGATCTCTTGTTGACCTCTGTGCTGTGAGGCTGTTCTTCCCAGGACGGCAGAAGCTTCTCGAGTTGAACCCTTTTTCCCATATGTTGAGATGCTGATCTAATGTTTATTTGTTGAACCGAATCTGTGTTATGAAATTAAATTGAACCAAATGATTCTAATGATGTTTTCCATGACCAACACATAACAACCAAATCCTTTGTTCTGATTTCTCCTGTTTTACTATACTGCTCTCCCCCTCAGTCCACCTCACCTCAATCATCAGCAGAAAACTCTCATAAAGTTGGGTATAATTGAGGAACTACAAATATATTACAAAAATACATCCATAAAACACTTTATAATGTCATCTACAATATGATGAAGGAAGAATTTAAGTGGCATTACAAAGAACAGAACAAGGATACTTCAGTAGATACATCAAGTAGAAGCAAAGAAGCATGTAAGCATGCACTTCTTCCTCTTCATCTCGAGATAAATTAAGCATTGTTAATCAAAACAAGAGGAACATTGACTTCGGAAATGGAGGGTCTCCTGCAAAATTGGAACAAATCTGAAGTCCCAGAATATTAAACAGAAAGTTCAATTATCTGTTAAAGAGGGAGATCTGAGAAAGAACAATGTTGAACATAAAATCGAATCCATGCAGAAGAAATATAGAACTAGTTCTGATTCAAGAAATCAGCACTCTATTATCCATTAACTTGAGAAACAGAAACATGGTAGTGTCACATTTGTAATATAGAAATCAAAATTTTAATGTTTACATGCAAACAAAGAGGAATAACTAATGTAAAATGCAGGGTTTTGAGTTAAACTCATATTCTACTGGTTGGATATGGATCCTCCATAAACTGATCATGGTTGATGTTAAAAATGGGCAAGTTTAGTTCTGAGGCTTGCAGGACAAATTTGCCAGCAATGGCAATTTCAACATTAAAAGACATGTTTTCAAAAGGGTGGACACAGGTATGGCATTAGCGAGAGACACCCAGCATGAGAAGATAACTTTGGCGATGGAAGGAGAAATATTCTTGATGTCTTTCCACATGTGCACCAAGGTTATATTGATAATCAGATATCCTGCATTGAAATGCTCCGAATCCGACTATATCAGATTAGAGTCGAAGGAACAGTTACAAGAATTACAAGATAAAGGTGTCATTAATAAGTTTTCACCTTGAGACGCTTTTGTACATTTGATCTAGATTATGCATCAACCTGAAAAGAATAGTGATTAGAAACAATCATCTTTACCAAAGATTTAATATTTATCGGACAGCTTGCAAGGAGCACAAGTCTTTTTTCTTTTAATTGATCTATGATAAAGCTACACCAGTTAAAAAATGTGCATCTGTGCTTCAGTTTTCACCTTAGTTTATACTTCAAAAGTATTCCGATGACATGATGAGATAGAGAATCAAGGTGCAGTTGCACGAGCCTAGTACAGAGCTAGACAAACCTCAGAGTCCCATCGACATTAGAAGAAAATATACACACTGATCAGGACAATAATTCACAACTATAAAAGATAAAAAACAGAGAGCTTAACTTTTGTCACTCAAAAGCACTCTTTGCAAGTGTAGTGATCCATACATAAAGAAAATGCAAAAGAAGCTCGGTCTGGGGCATGAGATGTATAAAGATTTGAAGTAAAATTTATGGTAGGCACTGCAAAGAGAGAAATGCATAACATGGGAAAACTATTTGGGTTGACCACATAGGCTGTTAGAAGCTGAACAATGGGAGATATTTCAAGTGGGTGATCGTTTGACAGTAGAACTGTCCCTACCAATAATTATTGTTGAAATCTGGAACAAACGGAGAACTAAATTAGAGTCCTCTTTGGTTTCTTGAAAGTGTATTATAAAGTTACAATACCATTAGCATTGGCCAGAGCTCATGAAGTTGTGACGCATTTGCTTAAAGGAAATAGAAGCATAAAGTTGTGGAATATGAACCAATTCAACCTAGAAAGGATAACTTATGAAGAGCATCCAATGATGTTTCTTGATACAAGGGAGCAATTGCCACAACATTAAATTGTTCCTCATAATGAAAATTATAGCTACAAAGTTCCTCCTTTCTGGTGGAGAACCAACAATAATCTAAAAATTCTCAGATTTTTGATTCAGAAACTGAGCAATAATTCCTTGATTGCTTAGTATTTAGGTAGCATTTGAACAAAAAGATGTAACCAAGATATATGCAAGAACCAACCATTCAACCAAGAACATAAATCCTTCAGAAAATTACATGAATTTATACACGTACCTTTAGATTCACAAAGAGAAGTTTTTAAGATAGCTGGGGTCCTTCTTCGCCCGCTCCTGGAACTTCTTGAACCACCGATCGAGAATGTCCATGGGCACCACGAGGCGGCTGCCATCGACCCCACAGAAGGACTGCATGAAGTTGAAGAGGTTCTCGCCGACCCTCAGAGCGAGGCGCTCGGCCCTCCTCTCGGTGCCGGCGTCGGCGACGGGGGGCAGCGAGGCGAAGTCCTCGACGGATACGCCGATCTTGGCGGAGGCCGCGGCGACCTGCAGCACGCCAAAGGCCGCGACAGCGTCCTCGGCGAGGTCGGGCCAGGGGAGGGCGAGGAGGGCGGAGGGGCGGGCGGGGTGGACGGCGCCGCAGAAGAGGAATGGGTGGCCGGGGGGCTGGACGTAGACGGCCAGGGCCTTCCCGGGCGGGAAGGAGGCGGCGGCGGCGGGGAGGAGGAAGACGCACACCTCCTTGACGTCGCGGTAGGCGTCGCCAACGAAGGAGGCCATGTCGAGCACCCAGTGGAGCGGGTCGATCTGCGTGAAGGCCGACGCGTCCATCGGGTAGCTCCGCTCCGGGAACACCACCCCGAACATTTCTTCCCCTCTCCCTTTCTCCAAGGCTCTTACTCGCTTCTGTAATCGCTAATGGTTTCTTTTCCCAAGTGCGGAGGAGGGTCTCTTAGGGGAGGAGGAGGAAGTTTCTAGAAAGTCAATTTCTCAAAATGAAGGATTCTGGAATACACCATATGACACAAATCAAATTTAGGGTTCACGATTCAAGATTACTATCAATTCTTCTAATTATCATACAAATTGATGGAAATCATGGCATATTTTAATACGTGAAAAGAAAAGAAAATCCATCCAACTTATTTTGGATTGATGATGAACTCGAGTATAAGGATTCTATTCATATTTCTAATATCGACAATAAAAAAATAATTGATGAAAAAAATTTAAAAATTTATATTTTTAATATATGACCAAATATAATGTATTTGAATCACCATTTTATTTTCTTCCTTATATATATATATATATATTAACAAATACAATCAAATTTTCAGAATTGATAAGTTCTACAGTGTGCTTTTACCATCACACAAAATACATTCACTTGTTGATGCTGATGCAAGCATGAACAGAAAGAACACCCAGATCAAGCACAAAGGATTCAACCAAGAACTTTAGTAATGGTCACTGTCAGACAGATTACAACAACTATTAATATCATGTAATGTGCTAATGGAACAGCTTGAATGCTGTACTGCTCTACTCAGAAGATTAAGACACCGCAAGTTATACCAACAATAGCTGTCTCAGGAAACAGAAACCAGGTTACCAAGCAATCAACTCTAGAACAACCTTTTACAATGATTCTAACAAGAACTAATGCAGCATCAAAGGAGACGCCTTACATCAAGCTTCGTGTCAATTCGTCACAAGGGAGCACTCTGTCATTCAAGAGTTTAACCCAACTCACTGCTCCTCACTACTTGTTGCCAAAGTCATCACAGATGCATCGAACCACAATCCAACAAGACCGTCTTCAAAACAAATGCTCGTCAAATAGTGTGTTGTTGATAGAAGTCAATAGCCAAACCATAACCACTCGATGCATTAAGAAACGAAAGAATTTGATCGAAGCAAGCAAAAAGGAGAGGCAGATATGGCTTGTTCTCGACTTTACTGAGAGCTCGTAAATGTAAAAACTCACTGGTTTCTGCCAAAAAATGGGATCCTCCATAGACCGGCATCAGCAGCAGCAGCAGAGTCATCTTGAAGTTTCAACTCAAGCCCACCATGAAAGCAATCAAGGGTAACCAACCAACAAAAGAACACCACATTAATCCCATCTTGAATGCCTCGAGAACCCATCAGATCTGAAGCAGCAAGGAAAAGGTGGTGGCAATAGAAGAAAATGGCTTTTAATTCTCCTCATTGCATCAGATGTCAGGACAGTTCAAGGCAGACTTTATTTGCTGAACCGTGGTGCCAATCAAGTTGTTGACCGTCATCACCGACTCCAAGTTGAGTTTTGCAGATGGCAAGCCGCTCATGAGAATTTGAAACGCGACGGTCAGCAACGAGCCAGATGAGCCTACCATTGGGTTTGAGCTGGATGAAGCCCCCGCAGCAGCTCGCCCGTCTGGCAAAATGGTGAAACCTGAAGGCAAAATGGGAATGTAGGACGGGTCCTCGCCGCTCATGACAATGTTGATGGCGGGTAGGTCGACAGGAGAATAAACAATGACAGAGCCATATGCATCGGTGCAGCATTCTTGGAGTATCAACATAGTGTTCTGGCCCGAATTGAGTCCCTATTCATTCACCACCAAAACCAGAAAATTAATACCTGACAAGGGATACTTTATTCTGAACATATACAACCTTCATAATGCCAATAGCTGCACTCATTTGCAAGCAAAATTAGTCAGGACTACACTGTATTACATGTGAATTGATGATAAAAATGAAGTGTTCTGGTTATTGGTTCTATAAAAAGAAGAGCCTTCTGTAAAAATCATATGCCATAAGTCTAAATGTAAGAAGAATAAATGGACAAGAGAAAAAGAGCATACACGAAGAAGAGAAATACAGTTCCCCGGATGTGAACCATTTGTGATGTGAGCCACCTCTTGTAGAGTGTTGCCGTTTGAGAGAACATCCCACTGAAAGAAAGAACAAAACAACAAACAGAAAGTAAGTGTCCATTAAAATAAGAGAACACGATAGAAGACTAGTGTCCTTTGAATAGATATCTCAAGAAGATGTGAGAAACCTGAGATCGTGTTCGTTCATCCTTGAAGAAACCGAAGACCTTCTCAGATGATATCGGCAGCCACATTGAGGTTGCTGCATTGAGGACGATGCCATCAGGCCGGCCAGCATCTGTGGTTTTGTGAATTGTAACCCTGACTCCGACATCATTTAACCCAGAGATGGTGTTCCATTGGTGCCCATTTGATGCACCAACATTGGCACAGAAACTGCTCAGCATTCTCTGTGCAAGCTTCATCATGCTCCTCTTGCCATCAGGCGACGGAGCCACTGAAGTCCATAGTTGATATCACAGTCAAATAGCAATTTGCAGATTCTTGTACTCTATAGCAACTACTGAGCAAACCACGTGTTACCTCCGATGTCTCTAGCTGGAAGTCCAGCGACATTCAAACAAGCAAACCTCTCGCACATTCTCTGTAGGGCGGCAAGCCAGCGCTGTGCCCCAAACAGCATTCCACTGTTTATTAAATCCCTGAAAAGTATATGGATCGGATTCTTGTCCTCGATTTCCATGTGCTCAACCCAAGTTAACTACATCAAATCACCAACAAATTTGGTTAAGAGAGAGAAATCAGCAAACTAAGAACATTGTGCAAGCACAAAAACCAGATCTCTCACCTTAGTATAGCCATTGGGCATTTCCTCAATCAAGTATCCAGAAGGAAGCCTCCTTGATCGCGAAGAAAGAGCAAGCCGATTGTCTCTAGGATAGTCCACCGAAACATCAGCTACTACCCACACGCCTGGCTCAATTTGCTGGCAGTACCGCAGAAAGCAGAACTCACGCATAGGAACAACTGGTGAAAGAACCTGTATCTCTTCATACATCTGCATGCCGTTGAACATATCAGCATGATAGCAAGTTTGGAAATTTATGTTCAACTGAAAGGGCTTAAGAACTGCCATTACCAATAACAAAGACCCACTTCTACTTCCAGCCATTCCAGCAGCAAGAACTTCAATGGTCCTTGCCTTAGAAACAATTGTGGGAAACAACTCTGCCCACTTGCTCTGCAACAAAATCCAACTCAGTCCAAAATAGAATGAGGAGTAATTTCTTTTTACTGGAAGGTCAAAACTTACCGCATCCATGAACATATCGATCAATGTCATAGCACCCATGATGACAAGAGCTGAATCCCTTGATGCCTCAATTCGAGTACCTGGGAACTTGAGCTGCCTACCTAGCCTTTGGAACATGCTGTCGTAGGTTTCAAGTTGAAGTATGTCCCTCCCATCACTTGACTTCACCCAAAGAGGCTCATCAGTCTGCACTAGCCTGATTACCTCCTCCATTGCACCGGTAGCCATCTCCACCATAAGAGGTTTCTCAAGATCAGAAACTGTTGAGGGACATTGAAATGGAAAAGCTGAAGAGGAACTCCGGCACAGGAGATCAAGATCAAGGGAAGGGCTTATCCCTGCATCACCATAACCCCCAGCTGATAAGTCTAATGATGATAAGGATACTGGCTGAACTGGGGGAAGCTGGGTGAGAGGCCTTCCAAGGTACTTTGATGCAAGATTTGAAACACGGTCAAGCTGCAAGGAAATTACATGAAGTTAAGGGAATGAACATCATTGACCTTAGTTAAATGTAAGCAGCGATGATCAGTTTTCTGCAATAAAGCCTAAGAAGTAGTGAACAAATAGCTAACTTCAAGCTAGAAGGCTTCGTTGTCTCTATCACCGAATTCAGATCAGAACATGCTGATAACTAATGGAAAACTAATAAATAGAGTTATCGATCGATGGCCCTCAGAAACAAAAGTTTCCAAACAGCAATAGCTACTTCTGATCCACATTTTCATGCCACGCCAGCCAATGAATTTTGCTAAAAGGAGCTCTAACAATTTTAATCTTTGAACAGTTGATCCATTATGACCGGCTTCCTCCAAATCAAAATAGTTAAATATATGCATATAATTGACTAAACAAATGTTATCGTTTGAAGATTTTATCTGTCGTGATAAAAACACAACGGCTAGTACGAACTTTTTCTTCTACTTCTTCTCTTGCAAACACTAAAATGAGAAAAGATGACCAAGTAGATGACGACCTAGCATAGAAATAGATCTTACGATTACATGTTTATGTTTTGGTTTCTGCATAACTGGAAATGGATCTTGCTTTAATCTAGAATCGGACAAAGATTCAATTGGTACCCTTTGGAAACATTATTCCCCTAACAGCTATTAACAACTGCATAAGACAAATAGCAGGGTCGAGGTGACTAAAAAGGGAGACTTGCACCAGTGAGAACTGATCATGACCAGTGAAACACCACAACGAAAGCGAGCTCGGTATTACCTCCTCTTTCAGCCTTGTATTGTCCATCCGCAGTTTCTGCTCGTCAAAATAGGAGTCGTCATCGGGCGGAGGACCGCCACAGGAGGGGCAAATGACGTTCTTGAGTGCCTCCCTCATGGCAATGTTCTCGCACCGGATCTTGTCGTTCTCGGCACGGAGCAAGCAGTTGTCCGCCCTCTCTTGTTGCCCCTGCCAAGCACCAGAATCAATCAGCGATGCCTTTTCGGTTTTGCTCGCACCAAAATCCAATTTTTTTTCCGCGTCGATTACGCTAACGAAAAGAGGAAAAGAGAGCAGCTGTTGCCTTCATCTGCGTCCTTCGGTTCTGAAACCAGAACTTGATCTGCCGCGGCTCCAGCCCCAGATCCCGGCTCAGCTGCAGCCTCTGCTTCTCGTCCGGGTGCAGACAAACCTTGAACAACCTAAGCAACAAGCTCACAGAAACCTCGTCAGAGAGCGCCGCCACGAAGATCCCCAAACCATAGTACAAAACTACGCAATGACCGCTCAGGACACACATAGAGTGAGAAGGAGATAGACGAGAACAGTGCGTACGATTCGAGTTCCTGAATCTGCCGCGGGTTGTGCCGGTGGTACCGCTTCTTCCTACTCTGTGAGTTCGGAACGTCCTGTTCGTCGCCGGAATCCATCCTACGCAACTCCGACGCTGCCCGCCCTCCCCACTCCTGCTTACACTACAACCACCAAAACAAGCACTACGATAACCCACAGCTGTCTACAAAAGAAGCGAGCCAGTTCGTGCTGTCGATTTCCAAGTCATGGCAACGCCGTCCTCTCCATGCTTCGTCCTCAAAGGTGGCGCCTTTCTTCTCCGCCTCACACCGCTCCTCCTCTGGCTCACGTCTTCCTCTCTCTATGGGGCTTATCCGAGTGCCGAGTTCGGCCGGGAGCCAGATGAGGTAACCGGCGGTGTGGCGACGCAGATGCCGGCTGCGATCCGGGCTGATTCGATCCCACCCTTCCCCTTATTAAGACGCACCGGAATTCACGTCTCTCTCTCTCTTTCTCTCTCTCTCTCCGTATTTAAAGCTTACAGTAACTGACACGAATTAAAAGGCCGAGCCTTTAAATATGTTAGATTTTGAGGTATATTGTATCCTCTCCAAACAGAATCTACAAACAATTATCATCAGCGAATCAGATGACAATATAAACATCTGATCAAGTATATTTGCATTTATATTTTGATTAAACATTGAATTCCTTGTGTACATTTCCAAGTGATCTTCTGAAACCAGAGACATAAAGCTTAGCAGAAATATACATGAAAAGGTTTTCTTTCTTCTGTCGTTGGGTTCTGCATGGCTTTGGCCTCTTCCTTTTGTGCTGTATGTTTTAGTTGGGGGCAATGACTTCACTCTGATATGGTTTGGTTGTCTTCTGGTATAGTACAGCTTCCAGAATTAAAGATGGGACAGCAAAGGAGAGAGACAGAGCGAGAGCTTAAGGATACTAATCTGCCAGCTCTCACCCTCCTTTTTCTCTCTCATGTGTTTTGTTATCCTCCCCTCAAGTAGAAGATGCTGATAACATGTCAACACAGCAAACAGTCGCCGAGAGCAGGACAGCATGGTAATCTGCACCCCTCTAGCTTTCCACTAGATATAGCCTAAGAACTCAAGCTTCGTCACTGATGGTGTGTTCCGCCCGTGCACTGAATGCTAGCAATCAAGGTTCCATGTCAGCTGAGCAGAGGTGTCATGGCCAAGGTGCTGGTACCTTCTCTTCCTCCTGCTGAAACCATTGGTGCACAAATTTATGGTGAGTAGCTTCAGGTTGCCATGACCCCTCCTTTTGAAAACTTTCCCTCTCCCTCCCTCCCTCCCTCTGTCTTCTTCCCCTTCGACACCAGCAGCTTGGGATCTTCAATACATGTAGTTATTTCTCAGCTAATAATTGCTTCCGGAGGTCCAACACTTTGTAGCATATGTATATGCCATTAAAAACCTTTAAATGCTATATCCTCTTTCCTCTCTCACTGCAAATTGTCACATCCTGTATCTCAATTGCAATTGCAATTACAAGCAACCAAATAATGCGAGAAGATCATCATTATTACCAAAAGAAACCTGGAGTCAACCGAGATCTTGGGCCCTGTGACAAGTGGCTGTGAGAATATAAATTAAATGGAGAAGATATAATTTTATTTACTGGTTCGTACCATCCTCTGACAACCAACAAGCAGCTAAAATAACCCTCCCCTTCCTTCTCTCTAAGATGAGCCAACTCGGACAAGGTGGGCATGCAAGGGAGAGTCTTTTAGTCACACAAGCCTCCAAGCTCAGAATCACCATGAATGATGGTTAGCATGCACAAAACAAGACGTCTGCTTCTATTCTTCGGTACCAAAGTTGTGTAGCATGGAGTTTTCCTCGACATCACAACCAAGAGAGAGAGAGAGAGAGGACGCAGGTGTAATAAGGTTTGGTGGCTCAGGTCCGATCACAATAAATATAAGCGCGGCATGGGATTCTTTTCTGTTGCTGTCTGTATTATATAAGCGTGGGCCCCATTTCTATTCGACCAACCACAAGGCTGGTAGTCGGGACGACTAAGTCGCATCTAGTGTCGTCGAAGAGAAATCACCTATGATATACTCAACTGTCTACCTTTTATCTGATTGGTTCAAGGACTGCAGTACCTCCAATCACACAGAAGGTACACACTAACGGGTAGGAAAACTATGAGCCCTGCCTCGTTGACCAAACATGGTGCGATTGCTGACGTCATTAAAAGCATCTTCTTGTTTAAGGGGGATTAAATCATCAAATTCTATTAAATCAAATAAGCTAATGACAAGTAATGTAATTGTTTAATTATAAATGACGATCGGGTAGGAGTTGCATAAAAAATGATTTAAGCTAAGCTTGTGATCATTAGAAAACGGAAAATAAAGATAAAATTCAATAACTCGGAATCAAAATACATTGCATTTAATATTTTTAGTTTTATTTGGAAAACAAGTTTGATGTGCTAATAGGGATAGAGAAGAACACGATGTACAAATTTATACACTTATTACGATCGATCACAACTCTTTTATTTCGAAGAGCAGCAACAAATCAGTAGTCATCTTTGCATCATTTATGATCAACTGCCATGTATCCAAGATCCAGTTAATCATCCTTCAATGCTTCATTATTGTCCCACCATCGTCCTAACTTTGGTACATGTTTCATAAATGTGGTACCATCGAGTCACGTATGTGCATTTGACTCTTGTCATGAAGATGTAGGGTTTTGCAGGCATGCATTCATCGCCTTTCATGTGTAGATCGTTATTGCACCCTTCCACGATGATGGCACATATAAATGAATGAAGTTGTCGATGTGCATTTCGAGAATGATTGAATGAATGCATACACTTACTTGTACGGTCTCCGATGATCTCATTTATCCTCTTACTTAAGTAATTCTTTCATTTTTAATACTAATTTACTGAAATATTATTTACGATGGTTTGTGATGGTGATCGTTTACGCCATGGTTGAGGGGTCAGACTTGGTTCGATCCTAGGTGCGCAAGATCGTCTGTGTTGATACTCGAGCAGGAACCATCGTATGGAGGGACCAAACTTGGACTTCGGTTTCAAGATCTGGAGGTTCCCTCTTTGATCGATCACCTTCTTTCCTGTCACCCGTCCTTGCGGACAGATTTATTTGTCACACTATAACAAATAAATACCACACACACACAAATATATATATATATATATAAAGGATTAGGGATTTTTTTTTTTCTATTTTGAGTTTTTTTTTCAATCCATACTTTTCATTTGACTTATTTTTTAATAGCATATTTAATTTTAAAAAGTGTTTAAATTAGTTTTTTTTAAAAAAATATATTTATTTGTTATAGTGTTTTGGTCTATTATAATATTTTATTAGTCACAATAAAATATTATAAAGTCTACTTAAAAACATGATAAATGATTTAAATAGATTATATCATCAATCAAATTAACAATAAATCTAAAAATATAATTTTGTAATGGCCTATGAATAATAACAATCAAAGAAGCACAATAATATTTTATTTAAAATATTTTTAATAAATATTCACAATATTTATATCGGTAAAAAAAAGAAGAAAAAAAATTAAAATAAACCTTCAAGGGATGTTTTAGGTATTTTTAAATTAAAAATATTATTTGGGAAAAAAAACAAAAGAGTTTCCCAAACAAAGGAATTCATATATTTTCTAGCAAAATCGTCCCAAATTCAATGGAATTTTCCCTATGCATTAATTAACTTAATGTATTTGTATATATTAGAATAAACATGTAGGTTTCTCAATTGGGCCACTCAACGAAGGAGAATAAAAAACACCGACATCTCTATTATATATATTTATATTTATATTATATTACGTAAATATTTATATATAGCAAAAATCTATGTTGACTCGCCTCTTTGTCTCTTTCCATCATCCATCATCAGAAATAGAACCCTACAGACGGCCCCCTCTCTCTCTCTCTCTCTCTCTCTCAAGGTAAAAGAACCTCTCTCTTCCCTTTCCCTAATTTTCTATTGTTCTGCAAGTAGGAAACAAAAATATTATTAGCCTCCTTTTTGTATCCCCCTCTCCCTCTTTTTTTTATTCTTTTACATTATTTCAGTTTGATTTTTAAAATCTTTTTTACCTAATATTTTTCCAATATTTTCAATCCGATGATGTCGCATGAGAGGAACCCTAAGAAGCTTCAATCTTTTCCACTGCATCAGGATTGCGGTCGTCGGTTGCTTTTTCTTATTTGGCGACCTTTCCTCGTTCTTCGATGGGATTTTGATGTTAGGGTTTCGTGAAAGATGCGTCCTTTTTGTTGTTTTTCGATGTTGTCCTCCTCCTTTTCCCTCCCGATCCTTCGACCTTTGATCCTTTCCGTTGAATGCTATTGATAGGCTCGGCGAGGTGAAGGTGATGTGGTCGAATGCTTGACTGAAATCGGTGGAAAAATTTTGATCTTTTTGCCGATTTCACCGGCGTGTCTCTGTGGTTCGTCCGTTTGAATGGACGACGACGGGGATGGGGGGTTGGATATTCGGAACTGGGGCTACTATGAACAGACCTGGAAGGGGAACCTCGGCCTGCATCTCATGTCCTCGGTGGTGGAGCGCGACACCAAGCCGCTGTTGTCGAATGGGGGATTCTTGCATCGGCAATGCGGTGTATCTGAGCCATTGGTGGCGATGGACGTCATGAGAGATGGCTGGATCCACCAATCCAGCGACGACCACGACAAGATCCTTCATATGCTGCCGGTGAATCACCACCACCATCACAACGACAGCTATTACGGTGCCCTACATGATCCTCTGACCCCCGAGACTCTCCAAATGTTGCAGCTCCCCGAGCCTCCCAAGGATGACAATTTCCCGGTAACAGATATACCTGTTGGTGAAAATGAGACTCCTTTAAAGAAGCGCTCGAAGGGCCGGCCCCAGAAATTCCCGAAGCCAAAGAAGTCAAAAAAAGTTGCAGCATCGAGTAATGATACTACTAATGGTTCTGTTTCACTTGGAAAATCTTGTAGGAAGAGCGCTGAGATGGTCATTAACGGTATCAGCTTAAATACCTCAGGGATCCCAACACCAGTTTGCTCTTGCACTGGAAAGCCACAGCCATGCTACCGGTGGGGTGCTGGAGGCTGGCAATCGGTGTGTTGCACAACTAGCATTTCGATGTATCCCCTCCCTATGAGCACCAAAAGGCGAGGTGCACGAATTGCAGGCCGGAAGATGAGTCAGGGGGCATTTAAGAAAGTTCTGGAGAAGCTTACAGAAGAAGGCCATAGCCTTTGTAATCCGATTGACTTGAGGTCTTTCTGGGCTAAGCATGGCACTAACAAGTTTGTGACAATCAGGTAAAACGTGCAATGTTGGCTGTCATAAATTAGGCTTCACCTCTGCATTTGGCTTTGCCTATCCACGATGTACAAATCTGTATCCTTATGTGGAGGTGCTTTGAATCGGAGGTATCGACACATTTTCTATCGGGAATAGTCGGCGCTTTGAGGTTCAGAGGCTTGAATCATGTCTTCTTCTGTTTTAAGCTTGTAGTTTTAAAGCAAACAATGTTTCTAAGCCAGAGGGCTTTTTACTTGATATATATAGAAAATCTTATTCTTCTTATTACTGATGTTAGCTTGTTTTCTCCCAGAAGAAATTCAGATGACACAGATTATGAGGTGGCTTCCATTTTTATGGGATCATGTTTAGGTTCTTTTACATGCCTCTTTAGTAACTCTAGCTTTTGCTCGTCAAAACCAAAATATCAACGTGAGCTACATGTTACTAATACCTGTATCTGCTACTCGCTTTTTGTATATATGCAATGTTGATACTGCTATTGAAGTTGCTGACTAGTTTAGTTGGTAAAGACTTTGATAGATTATCGCAAGGTCATGAGCCCGAATCCTGTCTTCGTCACTTATCCTTTACCAAAAGAAAAAAGAAAAAAAAGAAAAACTACCATTGTTTCTTGGCCATTGATGCCTATTAACTTGTGGTTGTTCGACATTCAAGTTACTCTGCATGTTCACATTGCACAAACTTGTCATAAGAGCAATTATTCAGATATTCATTCCTTTTTGGTGAGAGATCTCTTATGGATGTTGCTAGACTGCCCTCTGTTAAATACTGCCAAGGGAAACTTTTCATCCCAAGAAATGATGATTGTTTAATCAACCCAAGTAAATATTGGTTGTGTTGTCAGCATATGTAAATTATAATATGCTAGATCTTTGATGTTGCTTTATTGTTAAAAAGTAAACCTGTTCCTAAGTGTAAAATCTTAATTTGTAAATGTCTATTCATCTAGAAATAGTGGGTTTGATGACAGTTCCTTCTAGGAAATTTAAGGGAATTTCTTGCTGCAGCTCTCATTTCTCTCCGCCTTCTCTTCTACTAGATTCACCTTTTTTTATCCTATCTAATCTTACATTTCAATCTTGTAGTATTTGTTTTAAGCATTATCCCAATGTTACTTACCTTATTGTCTGTGATACAAACAGCCTGAAAACTGGTTCGAATTGGAACATGATTGGCAAGTGGGACATTCGAGAAAGGACCGTGCAAATATACAGAACCCTTGCCAGTTTTGTAGGTCATCTTTTGGGCTTTGCATGTTCTTTCGCTTGTTAAGCTGAGGAGGATATACTCTAAGAATAACTTTGGAGCTCAGTTTCATGTCTTATTTTATCATTCTCTATGACCAAACAGTTGGATGGGTATGATTCTTTTGCTGGAATTGAACAATCAGCCAGTTATCAGGATCTTTGAAATACAGGTTGATCCGTATTCAATTAGACTACAGGCATTACAGTTGATAAAGCTTGTGATTTGGAATTATGTTTGATTCCAATTGCTTCTGTGGTTTTGGGGTTTCAACTTCTGTCACGAAGTCTTATTTTTGACAGGTGAAACTTATATATAGCATTGATGGTCTTTCGAAAGTTAACAAAGGAGAACTGCGTGTCAACAAACTATCATAAATAATTGTGAAATTTGAATTATGCTTCCATTCCTTCGTCAGTCTTTGTTTCTTGAATTTTTTAGAATGAATTTCCCATTTTTCTTTCAATTAATAGTCAAGGCAGAACTCTTTTATCTATTATATCCCATGTGATATGTATTTATCTACCTATGTTCAATTTCGTGTCTGAGAACTTGACTTTTTAACTAATTCTGCAAGAAGTTATTCTTAATGAACTGAAGTACTCATTCCAATTGGTAATCTTAAGCCCTTTCTTTAAGAAATAACTACATCTGTAAATATATGTATATATATGTTGCCAAGTTGTTAGGATAATATTAACATAGCAGTCTCCTTTTGGTTTATTGAAGGAGATCATATAGGAGGCTTACAATGTACATTATTTTGATATCATGGTAAAGTTCTAATTTTCTTTTTAATTTTTTTCTTTTCATCGGATGGTTATTTGAATTGGTTTTTTTTTTTTACTTTAGATCATCTGAAATGTTTAAAGGTAAAGCTATGTCGATCTTACCCCAACTCTCGCATTGGTGAGAGCCCTTCTTTTATCCTATGAAATGGTATGTTTGCTTCCCTTTTATATTAAATTATATCAAACATCATCTAGTGTCTTCATATCATGTAATAGCCTTGAGAATGGGCTGTGCGTCCTTCAACTTAGGTTTCTCAGATGAAGTAATACAGAAATAGTGCCAAGGCAATATGATGCTATGAATTAGTCCATGAAATTTTCTTGGTATTCTGTTATTAGGAGGCACAAGTATATATCACATTTAGGTATTAATTTATATATGACATGACCACTGATGCTATAGTTGCTATCACTCAAAGATGTGTCTTGCAAAATTTACAGGAGCATTTGACAGATCATTTTGGTTGGTCTCTGTTATTATTATTGTGTCTAACAATTCATTGTGGCTTGACATTATGAGAATTCCCCTATAGAATTTGACATGCATATTTAGAGTAACTTGGTTGAACATGAGGCTCAGTGAATCTTTTGTAGCTTTCTTTGCACTATTGAAAGCTATCTCATCAATATCAAGTTGAGCTCATTCATGTAAAGCTTAGCATAATGGGGGATTGTTTTTCTGTGTTTCTAAGCTGTCATGTTATGAAGATGAAACAAAAACTTGTTTGCATCAAACTTTCTAGTCTCATGTAGGATACTCTCAGTTCAATATATGTAATTGGTAGATCTTTTGAAGGGTTATTGTGAAAATTAGAGCACTTAAACTTCCACAAATATCTTTTATATGGTTTCTGGAGGATACTGTTGAGTTTCTTGATTGCATTGCTTCCTGTTCATTGTACAAACTTATGCAAGAAGTTGACCTTTTTTTGTTAATTATTCCTTATTTCCAACTAGCTGTGAGGTCTGAACCTTTCATCACTTTCAAAATTTTGTGTGCATCTGACAGTAGGATCTTGTTACACGGTGAGTTGCCAGTAATTATGGATGTAGTCTAGAAACCCCTTCCATCATGTCCTGAAAATTTTTCCTCTGAATGTATGTGGAAGGTTGGGGTTGCTCACTTACCGATTTGTGTAATATTTTGCTCTTTTTACACTTGAAAAAGGTATTTTGTTATGCCACAAGTTACAGGTAATTAATTTAATAGTCTTGGAGGCCGATCTATCATGTCCCAGAAGTTTTGCTATTGTCATCAAAACAACAGAGGCACTTCTCCAGAATTTTTTTTTCTTGGTGCTGCAGAGCTTTCAACCCCAGTGACATCTTCAGCCTTCTGTTCATGTTTTCAGATAAGGTGCAATGACTTTCCCTGGCCAACATCTTTCACGTCCAAAGGATGAATGATGATTGGTATGCTCTTGTGTTGCAAATTCAACTTTCCATTTCTCAGTTCACATATTTAGTTTCTTAACATGACTTTCTTTCTAGCCTGTGTCATATCTGTCTTGGCAAAACCAAGATTTATGTTTCATATGAAGACTACTTCTGCTATTCTTTTTCAAGCAAAAGGTTGGTTACAGTTCTCATCATCCCTTCCAATTTCACACGTCGATCATTATTTTTATAGATTTAATGCTTATCAGTAGCAGTTTACCATTTGCTCTCTGGTTTAGCTGATCATAGAGTATGATATAATACCATGCTGTTTTCTCTTTGAACCCAGAAAGGAACTGTTCTGTATGGCTTAAGAACTATTTGATTTCTCACAAGCCCTCACATTGTATCCTTGTATCTCAACAGTGTTCTGCGGCGCGCTGCTGCCATACCAATGGGCAGAACAAATGGCATGTGGAGTATAATAATCACAGGGTCACACAGTGGAAGGAATGATAAAGAGCTCCCTCCTTTGCTTGATGGCGGGGTAGGCGCATGTGGAAGGGCCATGATTCAGCTCCCTCCTTTGCTTCCCCCTTTACGTTCTCACAAAGCTGCATGTCCATCCTTACTTCTTGGGATCCTACAAAGCTAACAACCTCCAGATTTGCTTTACTCTTCTCCTGCAACTTCTCAAGCAGAGCATTCAGATGCAAAGTGCAGCCCATGAATTTAAATGTAGTACAAAGAAAGCAGCCACAAGCAGTGCCAACAAATTTATGAGGATGTGCCCAGTTTAAGTCGAGGCACAGCTTCACTATAAGAGTGATAGTAAGCTCTTCTTTTCAGCACGAGAGTGTTCTAACAACTTTTGAGTACCAAGTTTTTTGGTGCCCAGATGTCACTTCAAGCATGTCTTTTGAATAGAGAATTGTTTTGTTGTTCTACTCTGAAGGAATTGTATGTTGTAGACTGGTCTCCAGAGTAATATCAATCGTCAAGATCAGGAGAAGTGATTTTTATTGACTATTTTCAAAAGTTGTATTTGCAAGTTAATCTATCCGAAAAGATATATTTTTCTTTCAGAATTGATTTAGTATCATGAACAGTGAATATAGTCTTTATGCAGCATTGGAAGCTTTTGCTTGCAATTAAGGGCAAGCAAAATCTGAAACAGATACCATATTGCAGCATATAACACACCTTGCCACAACTGCTCCAATTCAGTAGCTGACACACTCTAATCTCAGTTCTTCTCCATATATTGGAATATGTCACAACCAAGCATTCTATCTTCAAACCCAAAAGCCATCTTGATGTGGTCAAACATGACAGTCTTCCAGTCTACTTTCCAGAAAGGTAATGAGAGCAGCTTCCTACATTTCACCCCAATCCCAAGAGAGAAAATGCTCATAAAATAAACCCCCTCATGATGATAACTCGAAGCTTTTAAAGATTTATTTCTATCCTCCTGAATTTTGAAGTCTGTTGTTGGTGCAAAAACAAGGTCACAGGAAATACATATCAAACATCTTCATCAAGAACAGAAACAGAGAACAAAAGGCTAGTGCCAACTTTTCTAGGGCTCTCACCAGTGGAAAAGAAGGATGTTGCTAACATTCCAAGGATGCCTGCTTCAAATGTTATGCCTCATCCCTGTCAACTCAGCTTTGCATGATGTGCCAGATCCTTGAGATTGCATCAATCAGATGATGTGTGATACACTGATGATGAGCAGAATTGCAAAGGAAATTGGTCATAAGAATTGTTCTGACTTCCTCATGAACTAATAGAAACCTAATGAGAAATCTTGTATCAGATGAATGATGCTCTCCGGTCAAACCTGCA